TATCCCATAGGAGCTAGAACCTAGGAGAGAAAACACCCAAAAGGTCCTAGAAGCACAACAGTTCTTGCCTGGTGGGACATGAACCACAGAGAATGGTGCTATTAAACAGAACTGGACCCATTGATTAGATACAGTCACAGAAAAGCCATAGCTACTGTTTGACATGTTCTCAAAGCAAACAAGAGAAAAGCACTTTGAATTCTCCTCTTCCCAAAGGTCAACTCCTTGCCAGGAATTCTCAATTGCTGAACCTAACTAGAGCAGTGCATGAAGGAAACAGAAGTGGATGGTAACCTACTGGGATTCAAAGCAGGAAAGGGCAGGGCTACATCTAAAATAAAACTTGTACAAAATAACCCATACATAAATTTGCAGGGGAAACACAATATGGTCAACCTCATGTGTAATCAGGAAAATGCAACTTTAAACCACAATGAGATAGCAATTTTTCTCCTATCGAAAATGTTAAAATAATACAAGTGTTGATAAGATATTTAGCAGTAGAAATGATTGTATACACTGCTGGGAGGGGATTTACAAAGCACATTGTCATAGACTAATAATTTGATCTGAACATATAGTATGCTGCAAGAATTCACTTTTCAAAAAAGAATGCACATCAGCAAACTCTACCAATATGCACTAGGAGACATGTAAAAAATATTTATATAAATATTGTTAAGGATAGTAAAACTTCCCAGCTGGGAATTACCCAAATGTCCACCAAGAAGAAATGGGTAAAGTACACTTCACTTCTTTTTTTAAACTCCCCTTCCCTTCATTTTCCTCTCTCTCTCTCCTCTCTGTCTATCTATCTATCTATCTATCTATCTATCTATCTATCTATTCTCCCCCCTCTTCTTGTGGTTGACTAGCACGTCACACATCCCAGGGATAGAGCTCTCACACACTTTGTTGTGATATACCAGAGACCACACACTGTTGAAATGCTGAGGATCGCTGATCACTGGGGGAGTGCAGGGATTGAACTGACAGTCCCATGCCTCAAGACAGACGCTTTGCAACTGAGACTCCATGTGGTTCCTCAAGCCCTGCCAGGAATGATCCCGGAGCTCAGAGCCAGAAGTAAGCCCTGAGCACTGCTGGGTGTGGCCAAACGAAAACAAAACTAAAGAAGAAATACTAGGCTGGGGATATAGTTCAGCAGTAGATGACTTGAGTTGCATGTTTGCACATGTGAGAGCCTGTGTCCAATTCCTAGCACTGAAAAGATTATTTGAATTTTAATGAACAAATTCTACATCGGAAACTATAAAAATAAAATGATGAGTAATTCAGTGGAGTAAGGTAGATATGATCAGAAAGAGGACCACAGATGTAACTTCTTTCTACTATGTATATTAGATAATTCAAAGGCTGATTTTAGAGGTTCTAAAAGCTCATGTGCCCTCTCCCTAATTGTAACTTGGAGTAAAATAATACCAAAGTTTTTACATGCTCATGCAAATTCTAGAATTGGATATCCATCTTTGGTATCTTCACTTGTGCCTCTTGACTTAGACCACATTATTGGTGCTACCTGTGCATGCTGCTCCAGTTTGCATTTCTATACAAAGAGGATAAAAGCAGTACTTCCTTAGGACAAATTATCAGGTAAAAGAATACATAGAAATACTCAGTACATGGCCTAGCACCCAGTGGTGGAACATATTCACTACTTTGCCACATCATTGCCTCAGAGTATTCTCCCTACCCCCTCTATCTAATGAATGTTTCTCATCCAAGAACATACAGTTCTGTGCTGAAAGTCCTCCCTTGAGCCCTAATTGATTTTTCTTCTTTTAAATGCCTAGACATCCTGTAGTCTGCATCATTTATGAGACATAAACCTTGAATTTATTCAGATATTCATCCAAATGATGAGCAAATAATACTGGGAACATTGGAATGTCTAAAACAAACACAATCTCCATCCTAATGTGTCCTGCAGCCTAAGGAGTGAGATAGGTGTTTAGAAAATTAGTAAGCACATAATCATTTAATTCAAGACTGGTAAGTGCTATCAAGAAAGTGTGGGATGGTTTGAAAAACTGTCAGAAAAGAAGTTCATTTAGACAGCAGTCAAGAAAGATTTTTTTGAGGAAGTGACATTTAAGATGACTGATGAGACACACTGCTTTCCATTGTCAGGACTGACAATAAATATTTATTAAGGATATAGCCTACAGAAAAAATAGCAGCAGGAGTCAACATGTGCTAAATGCCAAGTAACAAAATGCTATTATCCAGACATTGAGAAGGATTAGCGTCCTTCTTAAAAGCAAAACCTGAGATTTGAGCAGAGCCTTACATAGAAGGGTGGAACTAAGACAGAGGAGGGAGAAAGGCAGCATTTCCGGATAGAGAAAAATATAAATATATGGACAGAGAATAAAAAATAAGACAGACTCATACAGGTTGCTTAAATCAATGACTGACATGAGAAGGTCATTGAAGATAAAAGATCGGATCTTAGAGGGATTTGCTTTATCCTAGATAAGATTTTTTTTAAACTTGGGCTTCTTGGAAATTCATAAGTTAGACCCCCCCCTTCCTGCAAAAAAAGAAAAAAATTGTTTTTCAAAAGCTCATTCATAGAACCACATACGACTTCTGGGGTTTTAATGCCCCTGAACTCATAATTAGAAAACCCTGCTGTACCTAAGAGAAAGAAAGTACTAAAAGCATTTGAATAGAAGGAAGGTGTCATCTTTCAAAGAGCCTTTAGAAGGTTTCTTTGATGACAACCTTTAGCAGGAAGTACACCCAGAAAACTACTGCCACATTAGAATGCAAGTAGGAGCTTATATATGGCTGTAGGAAATCATTAGTAAACTAAGTTATTGGGAGCAAAGTCTGGGACAGGCCTAGTGCGTAGTGTTAGGGCTAGGATAATAAAAATGATGAGATCACTGCTCTCAAGAATCTCCAAACCAGGAAGAATAAGAAAAGTAAGTGGTCCTAAAGGCCAGGGAATTAGAATACTGATGTTCTGAGCAGATGGTCTTCCTCAGAAGTGTGCACTGTTTATTCCTTGGAGAATTATTTCATATTGAAATGCCTTTCATATTGAAGGCATTTCAGAAAATAGCTACAACAAACTCTGTTTTTATGTCCATTTAAGCCCCCACAATGTCTTTTCTCCCTCCCTCCCTCCCTCCCTCCCACCCTCCCTCCCTCCCTCCCTCCCTCCCTCCTTCCTTCCTTCCTTCCTTCCTTCCTTCCTTCCTTCCTTCCGTCTTTCCTTCCTTCCTTTTTTCTCTTTCTTGTTTGTTTTTTGGGCTGACCTGGCAGTGCTTAGGGGATACCCATGGCTAATGCTCATTCCTAGTAGTGCTCAGGGGACTGAAGATAGACTTGGAGCACAGGTCTCCTGCGTATAAATTATATGCCCCAGCGCACTGGGCTATCTGTCTGACCCCCACAATTACTTGCACTACTTACAAACTTGCATCCTATAAGGTGGCCACACTGAACTAGGGCGTTTGACACTGTTTTGCATTTTGGTGCCTTCCACTATTACCAATTCTTTCTCACCAGCTGAGTCTAGTCAAATTATTTCCCATTTCCCATTATTTCTGGTGTGGTGGGAATATAAGGGAGAGGGTTGCCTTCCTTGAAGACTTGTCTTAGTCTCTCCACTCATTCTATTCAATTTGATTCAATTTCCCCTAGTACTCTGTATGCTTGTCGTGTGCAGGGCCCAGTTCAGGGTCATGGGGAGGAATACTCAGTACATTTACTAAGCAGAAAGGCAGAAGCCCAAGGGGAGATGAGAGTTCAGGTGTGGTTGGGGAGTCATCAAGAAGCCAGGTTAGCAGAAATCAGGAAAGGCAGCCAAGCTACTCATCTCTTCTTGGAAGCACTTGTTCTTGAGGGGCATATCTGAAGTCCATGCAGAACACCCACCAGTAGATATTTTCTTCCAGAGTATAAAGAGCCTCTGTTTGGGTCATCAGTGGTCCAAAAAAAGAAGACAAATTCTATTCTCTCACAAGTTGAGCTCGATGCAGGCCTCCATATTTCAGAAGAGGGCGGAAGAGGAGGAGAAGGAGAAGGAGAAGGAGGAGGAGGAGGAGGAGGAGGAGGAGGAGGAGGAGGAAGAGGAGGAGGAGGAGGAGGAGAAGATGAAGAAGGAGGAGGAGGAGGAGGAAGAGGAAGAGATGAAGAAGGAGGAAGAGGAGGAGGAAGAGGAAGAGATGAAGAAGGAGGAGGAAGAGGAGGAGGAGGAGGACGAGGAGGAGGAAGAGAGGAGGAGGAGGAGGAAGAGATGAAGAAGAAGGAGGAGGAAGAGGAGGAGGAGGAGATGACGAAGGAGGAGGAGAGGAGGAGGAGGAGGAGGAGGAGGAGGAGGAGGAGGAGGAGGAGGAGGAGGAGGAGGAGGAGGAGGAGGCGGCGCAATTACTGAGACAAGAACTGACCTGCAAAGGTCAGATACAACGTAAAATTCGCATTTGGAAACATTGCAGAATCCCCGGGAAAGCCTTGACTTTCAAACTCATCCCTGGGACTACCCTTCAGAACACAGAAGTTGCAAAGCCCGTTGGGTTCCCTGGCTTGACCCCTGTCACCAGACAGCAGGTGCGCCTCTTCAGTTGGAGGCAGAGAAAAGCAGTTCGATGATGTCCTTTCGGGCCGAGGACGAGGTCCTACACGGATGGAATCCACCGCCGGAGGGAGTCAAATCCCAAAGCCACTTTCGGAAAGAGAGGAGGTGAAGCGCCCGAGTCCCAAGCCGGCGCACGGGACGACCCCACCCTGCGCCCCGCACCCTTCCCGACTCCCCGCGGTCCCGCCCTCACAGGTGCACCGCCCCCCGCCCCCTAGTCCCCGCCCCACCCCGGCCCCGGGCCGAGGGACCCGCGGGTTTTATTGGCCCAGGGCGTCAGGGGCGGAGCCCGGGCGACCTAGGCGGCCTGGGGCATCGCGGGCAGGGCCGGCGGGGCGTTTCAGGAGGGCTTGGGTGCGGGACCGGCCGGCACCGCCTGGGCCCACTCGAGATGAGGACGTGCCGGGCCACCCCTCGCTGCGCCGCGGGGCTCCTCGTGCTGCTCCTCGGGGGCTTGGGTCTGGCGGATCCCCCCGGCCACGCAGGTAACAACTCCTGCCCGCCTCGACGCGCCCGGCCTCGACGCGCCCGCCCGGCCCGTGGTGCCCCGCGGGATGCGGAGCCGGATGCGACAGCCGGAGCGGGGGGGGTTGGGGGGGGGGGGAATGAGGACACGACGCCCCAGGGCCTGTCGGGGGGCCGGGAGGAGGGCGGGCTGGGCCGAGGGAGGACCCGACCTCTCTTCTGCCCCGGCCTCCCCGTCGATCTTTGACCCTCTTGCTTTCCCGGGTCGTAGAGGCCTCCCCCCTTTCGCTGCGCCCCTACTCTCCCCCCTCCCACCCCACAGACTCCCCGGGAACCCCGGTCGCGCCGAGGCTGAGGAGTTGTCCTCCCCGCACTCTGCACCCCGACTCCGGCGAGGGTGCGTGGCGCGGCCAGAAGAAAATCGGGTTAAGCCGGGTCCCCATTAGGGTTCCCCATTCAGAGCGGCGATGCCCCACCCCCCTCCCCGCCCCGCGCCCCAGTGGCTGGGGAAACTCCTCGCTTCTTTCTCAAAGGCTTATGGACCCGAAAAGACCCCCGACCCGCCCCACCCCACTCCCGGGTGGGGCGCGTCGCCTTCCTGGCACACGTGCTCCACTCGCAGGCTCCCCTCGCTGATGCTCCTCCTGGCAGTGCCAGGCCCGTCACCCGCCCTGGTAGCCACGGGCATTTGCTTTTACTTTCTGTTTTTGCGCTGGCAAATGGTGGTTAAAGACTTTGTAACTGAGTCGTCACGGCCTGCCGTGCCCACCTGCCACTTCTGCACGTTGTAGGCGGAAGTGCAGCACGGATGAGGATGTTTTGAACAAAGCTGTCCGTTGGCTTGTGACTCTTAACTTTCTCTGCAGGTGAAGGAAGTTTAGACCTGATTTAGACTTTCTTCAGGGAGGGATGAGGTTTCTCCAAGTGGCATGGTCCTCTCTACATCCAGGACTTTTCAGTGACCCCTGCCCCAGACACGTTTTGCTAGACTCCTTTGATCCTTGGTCCCTTCTCTTGGGAACTACCCAAAGTTCGTTATTACTGTGGGAAATTTATTCTGCCTATCCCGGGATCCACAGAAGAAAAATCTCACTGCATCTAACTTGTCAAAACACACTAAGCATTCAGTCACTAAGTCTTGTTTTCCATCTCCTTCTCCTCCTTGCCTTCTCCTTTTCCTCCTCTCTTTTCTCCTTCTCGTCCTTTGATCTCTTTTTGTGCCAGTGATCGGCTCAGGTATCACTGCTTTACTATTGAACCACACACTTGACCCTAAAGATTTTTCTTAATTTTTGCAATCTCTACAATCTCTTCTTTCTTTTCACCCAGAGCAGTGGGAACTCACTAACTTTAACTCCATTTTCCCTGCCCTAGGTCCTGAGAGATATTTGTTTGCCTGCATTCTTTGCCCCGGGCTGCTCATCTTCCTCACACCCCAGGACCACACTTGGGACACTGTTAGGAGGTGCACATAAGCCATTTGGTAGCTTGTTTGGCTCCCTCATGCTGGTATGCGCCTCCTCTTGTGTTCAAGGCTGTTTTTGCAGGTGGTCTCACTCAGTGTCTGTGACTTGGGGAGAGGCTGATTGCTTAGTTTACTTTCTTGCCTCCTTAGAGTTTTATAATATAGTATTTATAAATATTACACAAATAAAGTAGGAATAAGGATTTCTTTTCACACTTTCTGAGTCCTTGTTTCCATGTCTACCTTTCCATCTCACTTTCATACATATTGATAGAATCAATAAGACTGAGATAGACAGTTTCTGTTCAGTGTTAAGGGGGATATGGGAACTATAAGATGACAGTATCTTCTCTAGTTTATACATTGTGTATGATTATTACATGTTATATATGAAGGCAAATAACAGATTTTCTTGAATCCTATCAGTATATCTATGCAGTGATCATTAGAGTTACCAAATACAGATCATACAAAGTTGGTTAAAATCCAGATTTAGATTGAGGCAAGTATCCTATGATCATAGTTATTTCAAATGGGCAAGAAGGTTAGTACCTTCTCTTTAACATAGTTTCTCATACAACGCTTCTGCAGTGGTAGTTCAGAATTTTTGCAAGTTTATTAACTTGTAGGCATCCCAGAAATAAAATGTATAGAAAATGAGAAGAGAAGGATATTTTGTCTTCCAAAATATTTATAATGCATCACTGTCACCTTAGTGCTCATGCCTATAACAGCATGAGAATGAACTAAAATGTGTCTAGCATTTACGTGACATACAAAATTCTGGTCATCTTCCCAAGAACAATATGCAGTGAACTTAGCAAAACTAATAAAACTCACAAGGCCAAGAGATGGCTATTTGGAGAGAAGTTCTGGAGTGGTTTAGGGATCTTACACTGTACTGCTTTCATCTTACATTAAAAATAGTAAAACCTGGCAAGGGTAAGTGACTTTCCTGATGCAGAGGTGGATCTTCAGTCTAAAAACATTGTGCAAATTTTTTACTAACATTTTCAGGTTCTTAAAAAATATTTATTTTTTACTGGAACACTGTGAGATGGACCATTAAAAAGCTGTACCCCAACACCCATCCCTCCACCAGTGTACGTTTCCCAGCACCAGTGTCCCCAGATTCCCTCCCATCAACCCCCATCCCCCCCCTTTAGCCTACCTCTATAGCAGGCACTTTTCTTCTCTCTCTCTTTCTCTTTCTCTCCCCCCCCCCGCCCCGTTTCTCTTTCTCCAACCTCTCCCACTCCCCTTTCTGTCTCTTTTTGGACATTGTGGTTTACAGTATAGATACTGAAATGCTATCAGAAATATCCCTTTACCTACTTTTAACACTTAGTTCTTGTCCAGCATGATCATTCCCAGCTATTAGTGTCATACTGGTTCCTTCTCTATCTTACCTACCCTCTGCCCCATAAACACTTGTGGTTGATTCCAACCATTGGCCAGTCTACCTAGCCCAGTTTTCCTGGCTGTGGATATTGGATTTCTACTGTATATGCCAATGTTTTCTTCCAAATTATTCTAAGAGCCATAGGTATTCCAATAAGTTTTGCGTGGGTAAATTGAAAGACCTAAGACTCGAAACTTTGAAGGTAGACAAAATGACAAAGTTACTGCGTACCCAGTTAATTCATTAGTTCAGGGTCAAGGAGTACAGAACAGAGTGCCCAGGAAAGAGCAGTGATCCTGTATAGATGGAGAGGGAAAAATTCCTGCAATATTTTCTGATACTTTGGAACATAGACCTTATTTTAGAGTGGTAAGAGAAAATTTTTTTTTAAATAAAATAGTTCGGCAAAGAAAAGTGTTTCTCATTCTCATAAGTACTTAGGGAGTATAACTTACAGTCTTATCTGACAGTACATTTTCCTTTTCTGTTAACTTCTTCCCAAACTTTGCCCATAGAAAAGAAAATGTTACAGTGGTGTCACAGAAGAGGAATGAGAGATGCAAGTTGCTTTGGTAAACATGGCTGGCTCCAATCCTTGCCAGTATTTTAAAATACAAGTTTAAAAGCAGAAAATAGCTTAAAGGTTTAATGTTGTTTCTGTTGTTTTTTGTTGCTGCTGTAATTTAAAAATTCTGTCCAATATTCTGACTGCTATAGAATTTCATTTTTAGTTATTATTTACATGGTGAAATTTCCCTTCAAGTTCTTGTAGTTGAATTCTTTACTCAAAAAATGTCTGAGTTATTATTAGAAAAGTTTTGCATTCGTGTTAGTAAAGCTGATATCAAAATGAAAGTGCCTTTTGTGAATGAAAATTTCACAAGTCCTCTACTGAGTCCTTTGCTATTTTGGCAGTGGTTGTTGAAGTTGTCTAAAATATTTTAGTTTACCCAGGTTTGATTCCTCCGCCCCTCTTGGAGAGCCTGGCAGGCTACCGAGATTATCTCGCCCCCATGGGAAAGCCTGGCAAGATCCCCGTGGCGTATTCAATATGCCAAACACAGTAACACAAGTATCACAATGGAGACGTTACTGGGCCTGCTCAAGCAAATCGATGAACAACAGGAGGACAGTGCTACATTGCAGTGCTATACTTATTAACATGATGTTCTATGCTATGACTTTTCTTTTCTTCCTTAAAGCACTCAACAGTGTTAGCTTGTAGTTTGTTGTGACAGATAAAAATCTTACTCTACAAAAGTTAGGTATAAAAGAAATAGTGTATTAGGTTTCATGAAATTAAGTTATTTTTTCCTGAGTTCCCATCCTACCAATTTAACAGAGCTTTAATTTTGTTCTTAGATCTTTCCTTGCACATCCAGTCATCTCTGGGGAATATTCACAGAAATTTCTCCCTTTAGTCTTCAGCCAACACTGGATGATTCTGAGTTTTTTCATTGTCCAATGCAATGGGTCTTAACCTGATTGTGAGGTGATTTCTGGAACTCTGGTTTAGCTTCCCCCAGTGATTCATGGGTCAGTCCCCAAGACCCTTCCCAGGGGATCCCTATTACTTTCTGGATGTGCTGTAATAGAGCTGGCTACAGATCCCTCCTGTGGTGGTGGGGTCTTTCATAGAGTGACAGTAACAGTTATATGCACTAGTGTAAGTGCTTAACACTTATGAGCTTAATATATCATCATATTCACCTATAATGTAGCATTTTACAGAGAAGGAAACAATCTTTATGGTTAAATCACTTGCCCTGATCACATGAATCCACAAGTCTGATTCATGGCCTCACCCCATTGTCTCTCCAATCTCCAATGCTCTCTGTTCTTGGGTAGTAAAATATAATTTATATAGCTTGGAGGATGGGAACAATCTCACAGCAAGCAGCAGCCAAACACATTGACCTTATAACTCAGAATCCTAAAACATCTTTGACTATCTTGACTCAGGTAATGAACCATTCACCATCATCAATGAAAATACAGGCAAGTGCATCAAGCCACTGAATGACTGGATAGTACCAAAAGACTGTGACAACTCTAAGGACATGTTATGGAAGTGGGTGTCCCAGCATCGACTTTTTCATTTGCAATCCCAAAAGTGCCTTGGAATAGATATTACCAAATCCACAGATTCCTTGAGAATGTTCAGCTGTGACTCCAGTGCCATGCTGTGGTGGAAATGTGAGCACCATTCTCTGTATGGCGCTGCCCAATACAGGCTAGCACTGAAGGATGGGCATGTCATAGCAAGTACAAATTCATCTGATTTCTGGAAGAAAGGAGGTTCAGAAAAAAGCCTGTGTGATGAGCCTTATCATGGTAAGTATTGGACAGGGTCTTTCACTCTTTACTGTTGTTTTTTGGTAAATGTGGAATTTAACATCCCAAGACTACAAATAACGTTCTAGCACTGGGAAGAGCAAGCACTGAGGTAGCATTAATTTGCAGTAAGTAGTGGTCACTTTGGGCTAGTCTGTGAGGTCATTGTTATAGGTTAGGCTAGGAGAGGTTCTGTGCCTTTTAGAATTAGTCATTCATAAGCAACGCTTATATTTAAGATCTCTCAGAAAATTCTTCTTTATTTTTTTAGCTGTTTTTTTTCAATCCCAATGATGCTCAGGTGTTACTCCTGGTTTTACATTCAGGAATTACTCTTGGTGGAGCTAGGTGGACCATATGGGATGCTGGGGATCAAACTGAGGTCGGCCGCGTGTAAGGCAAACGCCATACCTGCTGTACTATCACTCTGGTTCTAGAAGTCCTTTGTAGCAGTAAAAATCAGATGATATAAGCGTATACCAGAGAGATCTCAGATACTTACCTTTCCTTAAGGGAAACTCTTTTAAGCTGAATTTGGTCTCCCATCCTTCCAACTTATCTGCATGTGCTTTTCTCCTGGGGTTGCTTCTTTCCTTTTCCAAGTAAAGAAGGAGCTGCTTTTGAGACTGTCAGGTTCCACATTATACACCGTGGAGAAATATTAGGATTGGAGTTGGGGTTTTCATCTTTTATCCTTGAGTAGTTAAACAAACATAATTTCTGCTTTTCCATTTTCTCCTGAGTTAAAAAGTAATTTCTGGGCCATAGAGACAGCTCAATAGGCTGGGTACATGCTTTGTATGCAGGAGGTCCAGTTTGCATCCCTAGAACCGCATGGCTCTCTAAACACCTTCGGATGCTGAAGTGGGAATAGCACGTGAACACTACCTGGGCTACAGAAAGTAATTGATTTCTGAATATCAATGTCAAATTTTAATTTTATGCTTAAGAAAAAAACTTTTTCTAGAGATAACAAAGGAATGACTCAAAATGTCCCTGAACTAGGTTTCACTTGTTTCCTTCTATTTGTTTAGGGTTCAGGATCTTTTTTCTTCACAGATATCGTTCAGCTTCCTGTTTCTAATCTTGAGTTATAATTGTAAATTCTCTAGAAAAGCTCTCAAAAATCCTTTATCAGCTTTTTAAATCCTATGTATTTTATTCATATATTTATATTGTTCCTCTGAAATTGGGGCAGAGAGATAGTAAAGCAGGCAAGGAATTTGTCTTGCATGCAGTTGCCCCAGTTTTGATCCCCAGGACCCCAAATAGATCCCTGATCACTGCCAAGAATGAATCCTTATCACAGAGTCAGGAGTAATCCCTGAGCGCTGCTGAGTGCATCCCCCAAACCAGACTAAACCAAAAAATTAAAAGAAGCGCCTTGGGCTTCATGTGGCTGCCAAAGTAATCAGTGGCACAGAAATGTTCATAGTCAACCAGTGTACCATGCCAAAGAGATCTGAAGAGTGACACTGGCAAGAACAAACAGAAAATATTTGTTGACTTTCCAAATGCAGTATTTAGGAGGCTGAATTTCCCAGAAAGGAACAAGTAGTTTTTAATTGACACAGACATCAGGGCCAAACATACCTCAACTTCTGCATTTCTCCCACGTCACCACATTCTCCCCCAGATCACATTCATGCCGCAGATCTGTGGGGCATTCCTTTCTACCATTCAAATGTCGTCAGGTGCTAAGTCCTGGCAATTTTGTTCCTGTAAACATGTGCTCCCTCTTCCTATTTTAGGTTAGAGACTGCTGTCAAAGTTGGGGATTTCCTCTAAGTCTGCATCCAGATCCCCAGTATTGGTCTCTGCCTTCCTTTCTCTTCGTGTAGCTGTTTAGAGATAAGAAAGAGAAGGCAAGATGTCTGAAGCTTCACAATGAAGTCCAAGACTACCCAATCTGTTATAGTAAAGGGAGGGCATAAGACTAGGGTTGTGTTCTTTAAATATAACTTCCTTATTTTTCCCTCAGCTGTTGCTATATATGTATTTTTCACTTTGTTTGGTTTTGCTTCTTTTATTTTTAGGCCCCAGCCTGGGGTACTCAGGGGTTACTCCTGGCTCTGCACCCAGGAATTATTGCTGGCAATATTGAGTGACCTAATGGAATGTCTGGGATTAAACCCAGGTTGGCCATGTGCAAATGGCTTACCTGCTGAACTATCTCTCAGGCCTTAAACTAAAGGTTTAAGGCTACTATTACCAAAAATCTATTTATTCAGAAAAGATTCTTTTTAGAAATTCCGTTTCACTAGAAAACCTGTGCAACTTGAGAGATTTAAGAAATAAAGACTGAAGTGATAATACAGTGTATAAGACCTGGGTTCAATCCCCACCACCCCATGTAGTTCCCCCAACACCATTAGGAGGTTGAGGGAATGCATTCCTGAATGCAGAGCCAGTAGTAGCTCTGAGCATGGCTGAGAGTGGCCAAAGTATTTTTTAAAGAGAGAGAGGGAGAGAGAGAGAGATTCAGAAACATTATATAACGGGTGATACTAAAACTCTTAATGAATATTTAGCATAATTTAACTGCTATGTTGTGTTCATAACATTCTTTGAAGGGAGTGTGAATAGGAGAGCTTCTTAACTGATGCCATCTTTAAACTGTGAAATGTAACTTGAAACCTCAGTAGGCAGCCATGGATGTCACCTGTTCTTACAGGTCAAGAATTCTAATCAGAGGGCCAGTTTTTATGAGTGACTGAATGTTTCATACAACTACTTTGTAAGAATGAGATTTTGCAAATAAGTGTAATGTATTCCTTTCTGATACTTGACACTGAAGGTGGGAAAGCAAGTAAAAAAAAAAAACAAAGCATTTTGTATTACAAAATAAAGATTTAGGGGAAAATAATAAGGAATAAGGAATAGTGCTCAGAGACTGCCCTATGAATTTTCTAAAGTAGGAAGAGAAATTGGTCAGGAGCTACTGGGAGTTTCGAATATGGTTAAAAACAAAGCTAAGGTGATAAATAAGATCCTTATAAGTATAAAGTTAACACATCCTTTACCAGAAGTTACATTATTACAACTACATGTTAGTCAGGAAAAGAAGTCTGTGTTCTTAAAGATTATAGTATACAGATTACATTGTTCCTTAAAATAAATGAAAATGTAAAGTTAATTTTCACACTTCACTTAAATGAGCATTTAAGAATTAACTATTGTCTAAGCACATTTTAAAGCAAAGTATGAAACATTTTGAGGCTTTCTGTGATGCGCTTTGATTACTATGTTTCATTATATTTTGATCTGGTAGTATCTATGGTTTTAAACAAATTGAGGACATGTAAAAACGATAATCAAAACGATAATCAAAGTAGATAAATGTTGGCCTATATTTAAAAATACTTCTGCAAGAAGACTGTTATTGGTGTATTAGATGCATTTATAGGCATATTTGAGGTTGGTATCATTTTTTACTTCCTCTTTGTATGCTAGAGAAATTTATTAAGTGAAAATGAAATATGTTACTTCACTTACCAACAGCTGCCAAGACTGCCCAGATGAATCCAGTTGGTTTTTTTATGACTGAATTTTGATGCTCTGGCATTCTCCGAGAATCCATTCAGAGATCCAGTAGTTCTTCCTCTTATTTCTTCAGTATCCCAAACCTTAATATCTACCATATATGTAAATCCGGCTGTCAGTCTCTAACCCCACAGTTGGTTCCAAGGTTCACACCAACCTTTAATGATTCAGTGGTATTTTCTGACCCATTCTTATGAAAGAAAATATATTATAAAATTAATCTCTTGGGCACCTCTTCTGGAGGAAAGAAACTACTCTGCCACCCATAGCAGTCAGTTAAACCTTAATTGATGAAACCCAGATCTTTCAGCTCTCCATGCCAGAATAAATAAAACTTTTCAAGGATTATCTCACTGACCTCTGAAAAAGAATTCTATGACCTGGGTAATATTAATCCTTATTTGCTATGCAAAAACTAAGAAACATAGGCTAATAAAATTTAGCCTAATAAGGCTAATTAAAGATCATTTGCCCAAAACTACTCAGTTGTACTATGAGGGAGCCAACATTCAAGTCCAAACCTGAACAGTTAATATCCATGCTCTTAATTTACACGCTGTGCAACCAACCCATATACTATATATTTTCATAAGTGATAAAAGCAGTTTTTCTTTGAAATAAGTTTTAAAAATTAATTAGAAGTTTTAGAAATTAATCAGTTAACTGAAGCTGATTATCTAGTATTTAGTTTTCTTTTTATGTTTCTTCCCTAACCCACAGAGATATATACCAGAGATGGGAACTCCTTTGGAAGACCCTGTGAATTCCCATTCTTCGTTAATGGGACTTGGCATCATGAGTGTGTGATTGACGAAACACATAGTGGACCATGGTGTGCCACCACCTTAAATTACAAAGAAGATCAAAAGTGGGGCATCTGCTTAATGCCAGGTATGTTCAGGCTATGAACTTTATAAATTAAAAGAACACCATATATTGAAATAGTAGTAGGAAGATCAGCATTAACTGCAACATATGTCCTAGGTAAAGAGTGTTTGCTACATATGTCCTAGGTAAAATATACTTGAGGAGAGACCTAAAATGTGTAGCTATGGATTTACTCTAAGCAGTAGGCCAGGAAGAAAATTAAAAAGTGATGTGTCATGGAAGAAAGACATAAGAGGAAGAGAAGCTACTCTGCAGCAAGGGTATTTCAGGATAGAAAAGGCAGAAGCAGTTAGGAAATCACTGCCAACCTTTAATAGAGTAGTTTTAAAAGATAAGTACTTGTAGAGTCTGGGTCATAGTGGACTGAAGTCTGAATAAGTTTTAAGGAGAAGAAAAAAGAGCAAAGGTGACAATTTGAGGAAGAAAAAGGATCGTGAAATTGTAAGTATGTTTTTTGGCATGAAGCAAAGAAAGGTGCATGAAACAGACAGATATCCCTGGCCCTCTGGTGACATCATTATCTCACCCCTTCCTGTGTATTGTTCAGAGTATTTTTCTTATTACTTCTTACTTTAGACCAACTATTCAAGGTATGTTAAGGGGTTCAGTGTTCTTTAGAAAAAGAAAGAGATCAGACTAATACTTGCATCATCTTGTTTTGTAAGAGATATTTTCGTCACCAATCAAGAAGGAAGCTATAGAGAATCATAGTACCTGGTTTGTGATAGGTACTTAATGAACATTTTCTAGAGAGATTTCAATGAGATGGGCACATACTTTGCCCATAGGACATCGGAGTTCAATCCCTACCAGGAGTAACCCCTGAATTCAGAACTGGGAGAAGCCCTAGAATGCCACTGGTATGGATCAACAGCAAAAAATAAAATTGAAAATATTTTAAATGGACACTTAGCTGGAAGAATCTAAGATTAAAGGAAAATTTTGCTCCAGATTTAAGTAATAATACTTAGAGGGCTATGTAAAGTGTTGGTTACTGTTCTAGGTAATCAACAATGTATTGTTATTCTATTTTCAGACAGCGCTTTAAGATGGTGCCCGTACTTGCCCTCCTTTCACAGATGAGCAAACTTTGGCACTGGGGGATTAGTCAATTTACTTGACTAAAGTCACATAGCTAATAAATTACAAATTGGCTCAGGAAATTAAAGGAAGTTGAGCTTCAAAATCCAAGTGCTTTGGTGTCCAAATGAAACTTTGGTACATTTACACAATGGAGTACTATGTAGCTGTTAGAAAAGGCTAAGTCATGAAATTTACATACCAGTGGTACTACATGGAAAGTATCATGTTAAGCGAAATGACTCAGAAAGGAAGGGATAGACATAGAAAGACTGCATTCATCTGGGGAACATAAAGTAACAAAATAGGAGACTAACACCCAAGAATGGCCGAGATTAGTGCCAGGAATTTTACTCCATGGCTTGGAGGTCAACCACTCATGCTAGGGGAAAAAGGGAGCTCAGATAGAGAAGGGAGCACCAAATAAAGGGTATTGGGAGGATCCTCCCAGGATGGGAGAAGCATGCTGAAAGTAGACTATTGACCAAACATGATTGAAATGGGCACTGGTGGAGGGATGGGTATTTGATTATTGTATAATTGAAATCCAAGCACAAAAATTTGTAAGTCTACAACTGTACCTCATGATGTCTCACTAATAAAAAGAAAAAAAATTTTTTAAAAATCCAAGTGCTGGGGCTGGAGCGATAGTACAGCAGGTGGGGCATTTACCTTGCACGTGGCCGACCCTGGTTCGATTCCTAACATCTATATATGGTCCCCCAAGCACCACCAGAGTAATTAAAAAAATCCAAGTGCTAAGCAAGTTTAATGGGTTATACTAGGACAATGATTGACAAACTTTGGCATACAGCAGAATCACTTGAACGGTTGGTTAGATTATGGCTAACTCCAGAATGAGAGTTATCCAGTTAGAAAGTGGCTAACTCTCTTCATATCTCCAAAATTTGTTATTTGATAAATTTTGAACAGTACCCAAGAATTTTTAGAGTAATGAGTTTTGGGATGTTCTGTGAACCACTCCTTGAGTTAATTTTCTAGGTAGAGGTCCAAATTTTAATTCAAGGTGCAATATTTTATCCTGGAACCTACTGAAAGGATAAATGCTAATATTTTCTTCCATTATTATTGATAGCAAGCAGACTTTGGTCAATCAAGCATCAATTTCACTTAATTTTACATTAATCTAGACCAGAAATTTAGTTCTGAGAGGGACCTTGGAACTTATTTGACGTAAACCCTCATTTTGATGACGGGCAGCACATTCAGATTGATGAATTGACATATCAGACTTAGATAATACGAAGAATTTGATGGAGATCTCAGGATTCATGATCCTCATTCCCTTGAATATTTGTTTCAGCCCACATGGCAGAGTCTGGCAAGCTCCCCATGGTGTATTCGATATGCCAAAAACAGTAACAAGTCTCACAATGGAGATCTTACTGGTGCTCGCTTGAGCAAATCGATGAACAATGGGAAGACAGTGCTACATTGCTAAAGTGCTATGCCTTTAACCTCACTTGAGTGGTTAGGAGCTTTGTTAATGCATTTATATGCCTCCAAGAGCTACTTTCTTATAAAGGGAGCAAGATTGAGTTTCTCAACTTGAGGACTGTTAAAACCTGGAGAATTTATTTTAGAGCAAACACATTTATGTACTACTGGAAATTCCCAGATTAATAAACATAGATCCTCAGTATAAGGAAGTGATAATAAAGTGGTAATACATGTAAATTGACCTATTTTGTTCTCACTAAATATGTAAAAACTCAGTAGATATTTAAGTCATTCAAAAGGTGACTGTATGGTTCAATAGATGAACATTTCCATATTTGGGGACCAGTGGTCTGTTTTTAGTCCTGCCACAAATACCTCTAGATTTTTGTTCACATTTGAGAAATTCGGGTGTTAAACATGGTGTTCTCTAAGGACCCTACCAACTTGAAGATCCATGAGTCCAATATGTGACTCCATTTGGGAGACCTGAACTCAAGTGGAGCCAAAGTTACATTTGACATAATCTCCTGCTCAGAATACAGGGAGAGTCTGAGTATATATGAAGACCAGTTATATCAAGACCCCTATAGCTAACCTAAGAAACAAATTGAAAGTTCTCTGTAATTACACATGCTGTTTATATGTTTGTTAAATAAAAGAGTGTATACGTTAAACTCTGCAGATGTGTAAACATGTATTCAGATGTTTAAATACATAATTATATATTTACATTTGAAATATTAATCATATATCATATTAAAACATTAAAATATTAAAGAGACACCACTTAGACTCAGTTTCCCACTAGGGTAGTCATTTGGATATAAATCTTCCTCATTTAAACTGCGTGTCTGCATGCATTCATATGTGCCCGCGCACGCATGCGCGTGCACACACACACACACACAATAGTTTCATGGTAAGTCATGGGCAGACTTCCACTGATTTTGTTTTACCAGTAACACAATAACTTGACACTATGAGCACACTGAAAGACTCTTACGTTGGACTGAGGGCAGGAAAGGGATAAAATGTGGCTTTGTAAACACCCGGGGATAAAGGGAGCCTGAAAGCTAGAGGGAGAGTAGGCACTTTAGTCAGCATGAGTCATATTGTTTCCATGACTTCGATTTCTTTGTGTAACAAAAGAATCAAAATATGGCCTAATTAAGCAATCTCAGCCTCAATATTAGCTTATTCTAGAAAAGATGCAAACAATTGTAGTGTGTATTTGTGAGCATTCTAAGCAATAAATAACATTATGTCCTTTCTTTATGTGCACTAATGTTTATCTTTTTAATCAACAGAAAGTGGCTGTGACACTAATTGGGAAAAGAAAGAGCAGATGGGAAGCTGCTACCAATTTAATACACAGGCCTCTATTTCTTGGAAAGAAGCTTATGTTTCATGTCAGAATCAAGGAGCTGATTTACTGAGTATCAACAGTGCTGCTGAATTAACTTACCTTACAGGTAGGTTTCACTTGACTGTCATAGACAGATACTGAAATTGTGAAGATGTTATTTTTTCAGCATTCTAACTGCCCACTGCTATTTCATTCATTGAAAAAATCATTCATTGTGTTTTGTTGGTTGGCTTATCATTGTAGTGCTAGGGATTGAATTTAGGGCCTCATACAAACAAAGGCAAGTTTTCTACCATTGAGTTGCATCTCTTACCTAAAAGTGCATCTTGTGATAGACACTAGAGGGAGATAATATTAAGGAAATGGGATGGGATAGCAGGAGCATAGTGATCCCCTAAGAGTAAGTGAAAGAGTTGAAAAATATCTGAACATTGATAAGCAGGAAGGTAAAAAGATGGCTGATGGCTGCACCCCAAGAGATAAACTTAGAATCCTCTCATTTGTGTTAACATGTTCAGTCTACAGGAAAAGGAGAGTTTTTAAGAAATCGTAAAGTAGATTTAATGAAACAGATTCCGGGAATGAATAGAATTTTGTTTTATGTGTTATCAATTTTCAAAAATAATTATGAAAACTTGTATAGACTAGTCTGGAATTCAACCAAAAAATAGACATGTATGGGACTACAGAGATAGTACAGTGGGTAGGGCACTTGCTTTGTACCTAACCATACCAGGTTCTGTCCCTGCATCCCATATGGTCTATTGCTTAATTAGAGATATATGACCACTATTCTAACTAAACGTATACTAATACTTTATTATATTGCTTTATGTACTTCTTTTTTTCTTTTTGGGTCACACCCAACGATGCTCAGGGGTTACTCCTGGCTCTGCACTAAGGAATTACTCCTGGCAGTGCTCGGGGGACCATATGGGATGCTGGGAATGGAATCCAGGTCAGCCCTACCCACTGTACTATCACTCCAGCCCCACTTTATGTACTTCTTGCTCTCTCCCTCTTCTTCCATCTCTGTTCTTTCCCTTCAAAGAAACAAAATAAAATGAAAGAGAATGAGAAATACTATTCCTCAAAGGAAAAAAGAAGAAAGAAAAGAAAATTAAAGGTTCATGCCTTTCTCTCAAAATAACTGTCCTTTGGGTATCTTTACAACATAGATTTATATATAAATAGTAAATACACATACACATATATGTATTTTATTTTCATTATATTGTTGTTATGTGTTTAAAATAAAGCAAATACTAATTTCTTTACCAGTCTATAAGCTTGTTGTTAAGTGCTATTTTGTAATATAAGATTGAACAAGCCACAATGTATCCTTTCCTCTCTGAGAAAGTTCTATTGGCAACTCCTCTAAGATCTTCCTCTGTTCCAGAGCTGTCTCTTACTGTAGGATTTACTGAGTCATAGGACAGAGTATCTCTTTACTTAGTTGCTTTCCAGAGTGGCTGTTAACCCTTTGTAACTCCAATAGCATTGGGTATGATCAGTCCTATTATTTCATTTTTTGTTTTACATTTCACTGATAATTAGTTTGTGTGTATCTCGTGGTTGTTAACCATTTGGTTTTCACCTTCAACTTCCTAGTTCGTTACTTTGCCTGTTTTCTATTGAGTTGTTCCCCCCACCCATTTCAATGGTATTTCTTTGTATCTTCTGAATACTAATCTTTTGTTGTAGTGTTATAAGTATCTTCTCCTAATCTTTGTTCTTTTTACTTTATTTTTTGTTTCATTTTGGACCAGACCTAGCAGTTCTCAGGGGCTACTCCTGGTGGTGGACTGGGGACCAATATGAGATGCCGGGGATTGAACCTGGGCTGGCTGCTTACAATGCTAGTGCCCTGCCCATTATACTATCTCTCTGACCCCTATTCTTTTCAGATTTACCTTTTATTCCTTAAGAATTTCTGTTTATTTATGTAGCAAATTCTTACTGAACCTTAGCATGATAACAACAACCTCTCATGTTTTCTTCTTAAAGACTTTATTTTGATTGCATGTTTAAATCCTTAATCTTTTTGTATTTACAACCTCAATACATCTGGAACATTGAGGTAGGAATCTGTTTTATATTTCACCATGTGGTCAATAGCCAAGAACTGTTTTCTTCCCCGTTCCCCATTTTATTTCCTATACCATTTGTAATTCAACCAAATATAGTTTTCAGGGTGAGAAAATCCCCCTTTATTCATTTTTTATATTTTCTTCTTTAATCAATTATTCCTTCATATGAATTTAAAGACCATGCTGTTAATCTCAATGAAAGCCCTATTGAGATTTTGAAATTGCATTGAATTATAGATTAATTTGGGAGGCATTGCTGTCACTGCATAACTGAGTCTTCTCACCCATGAAAATGATATGCCTTTTTATTGATTTCGGATTTCATTTATGCACACAGTAAAATTCTGTAACTTGTTCCATCAGAGTCTTACTAGATGCAGATTAAGTGTGCATCTTTTACTAGGAAATTTATAAATGGAAAGATTCTGTGTTGTTTTTTTAAAAAAAGAAAAACCCAAGAAACACAAATAACAAAACTTGTGACTTGTTTGACAAATAAAAATTAATAAAACTATATGATGATGATGATGTTCCAAGTGAAATGCACATTATTTTATTTAATCCCATATACCAACCGAATGAGGTAGGTAGTACTATGCTTATTTCATACAAGGAAGAATGTGGGTGGAAAAGATAACACAGAGGGTAAAGCCATTCATTGCCTTGCATCTAGCCAATCTAGGTTCTATCTCCAACACCATATATGGACCCTCCAACACCAGGAATGATCCCTAAACACAAAATTAGAAGTAATAAGCCCAAGCCACAGCCAGGCATGGCCCCAAAGCAAACAAAAATCTTTTTGTTTTATGTGTTTATACCATAAAAATCACTCAGATTTACCAACCAGTACTTCCCAGAGTTGAACAGCAAGACCCTACTTTTCCTAATTTGCTTTACAAAAGGAGCTATACACATTGAACCAATTTGACAGGTGCTCCAAGGCTAGGACAATTCTGACTCTCTGTTGGCAGTACCCTTTATTTTGCATCAAAAGAGAACCTAAGGTTGAAAAAAATAGTGCAGTAAATAAGGCACTGGCTTATCTTGCTTACAGCTGACCCAGTTTGATTTCCAAGCACCACTTATGATCCCCCGGAGCATTGCCAGGAGTGATACCTGACTACAGAGCCAGGAATAGCTCCTGAGCACTTCTGGGTGTGGCCCCTAAATCAAAACTTTATTAGGAAACTCTTCTGTGGCACATCCCACATGGATGATCATCATCATGCCCTGGATTCTTACTGTGAGGAGAGCAAAAGAAATACAGGAGCAGGTCTGAGCTGGGATCTCTGCAACAGCAGAGCACTCTCTGTATCACTGGCCTTGTCCATTTGATGAGATGTGGGGACTTATGCTAGCAGTGACCTTTCTTATGGCAAAAATGGGGGTAGGCAAAGATACAAGCTAATGAATTTCTTTCCTGGAATCTTCTAAGAAAAATTTATAAAAGGAAATACCAGTTCCAAATTTTACAGGACATTGAATAAATCCCTGCCCTTCTTACTTGCCCAATCAGGACTCAGACAATATTTCCATTTCTTATTCACATCCACCTGGTATAAGACACATAACACAGTCACAATGTTTAAATCCTGTGATACTGGTGAAGAATAAAACATGAATTCAAGTCACAAATCGGATACTGTAATGAAGCAAATTAATAGCCTGACAACTTCCAAAGATCATGTTGTTTCATTTTAAATATTTATCACTGAATGTGGATAAATATAAGGATTCTTTAGGATAGATGTTAGGGCAACAAGGAGATTCATATTTGTGGCTGAAGAGATAGCCTAGGAGTGAAGGCAATGCCTTACATATGTCCAACCCCACTTTGATCCCCAGCACCACAAGGTGCTTCATGCACCTGTGGGTGTGGCCTTGAAAAGCTTTGCTTGGCCTCATCCCCCAGCACAGGACTAGTACCTGGCATTGCGAGAATAACTGAGAAGCCCTCCAGCCTACTAATCACCACGTGGGAAAGATTGTACTCTCTGCTGGGGGCATCTATGAAGACTCTATGAAAGGGAGGGCATTAAGTTGGGATGGATAAGAAGAACTGGACCTCTATAGTGAGCTTGGTTAGAAGTGAGCACTTGGGTAGTGGTGGTTATGTGCAGTGACTGTGTACATCTATATAAAAGCACTGTTTTAAGCATTTTGCCTAAAATTGTTTGTAAAAAACATTTTATTTTTATTTTTTGAAGAATTTTTTAAAATTTTATTTTAATAAATCACCATGAGATAGAGTTACAGACTTACAAATTTTTTTTCTCTTCATTTTCATTTATTCTCCCAGGGGAGGGTTGAAAGAACAAAAACCCAAGACTCTGGTCTAGATCACATTACAAATCTAAACTCTGGTGTGGGATTTCAGTGGAGAAGCAAACATTAAAAAAAAAGTAATAAACCAAATAATCAAGGTTCTATGGAACGTTACCCACATAACTGCCACTAACCATGTAAGACCATTAATTCTTAAGGTTTTTTTTTTCCAGATTTGTATATGCTTTTTATTTTTTTTTTAATTTTTATTAGTGAGACACCATGAGATACAGTTGTAGACCTACAAATTTTGTGCTTGGGTTTCAATTATACAATGATCAAATACCCATCCCTCCACTAGTGCCCATTTCCCGCCACCACAGATCCCAGTATCCCTCCACCCCAAAAGAGGCATTGAGTGGCAATCATGTTTGGTCTATAGTCTACTTTCAGCATGCTTCTCCCATCCTGGGAGAATCCTCCCAATACCCTTTATTTGGTGCTCCCTTCTCTATCTGAGCTGCCTTTTCCCCTAGCATGTGTGGCTGGCCTCCAAGCCATGTAGCAAAATTCCTGGTACTAATTTCGGCCACTCTTGGGTGTTAGTCTCCTATTATGTTACTTTATGTTCCCCAGATGAATGCAATCCTTTTATGTCTATCCCTCTCTTTCTGACTCATTTTCCGTACAAGTGGTACTACATGGAAAATTCTTGAGTTTTTAAGGTGTCAAGGGATCGTGACAGCAG